CTGGTTCGTTCGAAACACGCCCCATAATCACAGCTCTATGGAGCAGTATCAGACTCATATTCTGACTAGAATTGAGTACGACTACGTCAGGCTAGTGTTTTACCATTATTTAAGTTAGGTGTGTCGCTGGCCTATAGATTTTGATTATCTTGTAAGAGCGGCCCAGGGAAGCAATGACAGTGAGGCTTATCACCGTTGGTGAGTCAATGTGAGCATGAATGGATGATTGAATGAATGTAGTGTAAAGAGCGTAAAGCATCCTCACTTCTTGAAAAGCTAGGACAACAAAAAAATAAGAAGATTAATCTTATTGATAAAACGTAATCAATGTGGTATTTACATTTCCATACTAAACATGCAACAGTGGATTTATCTTATATTTCTATAAATATAAATGTATTCCTGTAAGGGTTTGAGAAATCCTTAGATGAAAAAAACAGGGTCTTCCTCTTTTTAACTAAACTGCATGTACTTTAGTATTTTTAAATGAGCTAGATTTAAATAATGATGAATAATTTTTTTGATCATCCATAGAGTTATCCGAGCTGTTTTAATTCCAAAACGCCCCTTCAGCCTTTTGTCTAATTACTATTCCCTCTGCGCTTACAAAGGATATCTGACATTTTATCAATAATTTTCCTATTTCTTTGACCAAATTCAAAGCACAGGAAGTAAGCTCTCAAAGAATATGACAGAGGTTTACGTCATCCTCTGGGGTCTCAGCTGGAGCACAGCTGTGGCCTCAGCTTCCTTTCTGTGTTCATGTGATGCTGCACATCACATGGCCCCGCCTGCAAAACTAATGTTTTGTATATCTCTGTTACCCTCATGCTCTGTATGAAATAAGCCGCTCATGGGTGTTTCTTTTTCCATCCCAGCCCCAATGCAATATTATCCTTACCCGCACTGGAGGGAAAGACAGAGGGCTTTTAATTTAATGACCTTCCCCGACAGTGTTCATGGGAGAGATTTAGATTGGTGTTTGTCCTTGCATTCACAGAACCCCATTGGTCACCCAAAGGTACAATAAGGTTATTGCTTCTCCCTGCTTATTGCTTCTCCCGTTATTGTTTTACCCAACGCCTTTTTATTACAGCCCTGACAGGAACAGAGGGGAATATTTTTGTGAGAAGCCTAACTGTATGAAGCTGGGCCAACTGCCTGCTATTACACTAATATTATGCTTGTAGTCGACTTTATAGTCCCTCTGTAAATTCAATAGTACAAAAACAAATTTGGATAAATCAGGTGGAATTATAAAAAGATATTCAGCTAACATGTTGTTGTCATTGTTGAAGTAGGTCACTGCCAAAACTTTGGATGTGGTAAAAATATAACTATGTTGTCCTGGCACCTTGTAGAGACATAAGATGTGGAGTAACATATGTGTGATTTAATGCCAGCATAACCAAAGCTGTTCTGTGAAAGCCTCCGTGGGTTGTTAGGGAACATTAGTGAAACGACATGCAGACTAAGAAACATACTAGAAAGAATTTACCTCACTCAAACAGGATCAAAAATATCTTACAGAGCACTATTCACTTCATCATCTGAATTTGGAAAGAAAATGAAGCAACAAAAAACCACAACAAGTAATAATCTTTCCTTCTGTTTTCATCGCCTCATGTTTTTGTTTTATGTAAAGTACTTTGTGTTGCCATTATTGTGTTCTATAAATCGATCACTCAATATAGAAGATTTCTATTAGGGCTGCATCTAACAATCATTTTGCAAATTGATTAATCTCTCAATTATATTTTCAATTAATTGATTGATAATTGGATGGCAAATGTTTTTTTTTTTTTTTTAGAATTTTTAAGAAATTATACCAGCTTAAACTAAAACGATCACTTGCAGAGTTTTGGATAGAGCATATTGACAGACGAACAAGGTTTCTTTAATCTTAAATACAAAATGTAACCTAAAGGCATATTTTACAGTCTCTGAACTCCAGTTAATGATTAATCAATTACTTGATTATTAGGCAACTAATAACTGATTAATCACAATTATTCCAATAAATTTTTTCAGCTCTAATTTCTATATTTGATTAAAACATGTTGGCAAACTCATCATAGTTTGATTACATTTTTGCTAAGCAGTGATGGGCACGCTAATGAGAGTTAAATTGGAAGATGAATGTCAATAAATACAAGTGCAAATTGTACAAAATGCTTTCCAGTTTGCCAGAGATTGGGATTGATGTTCATCTCCCTGCATGACAACAACCCGACCACAGTGCTGCAGTGGTAATATTTGGATTAAGGTGTTTTCATGGCTCAAAACAGTATACCAAAGTCCAAACTAGATACAGACGTTTTAAATTCCATTCAGAAAGCTTTTTCAATTCAAAATGTGGAAAATTCATTTTGAATTGAAAAAAATGTCCTTGATAGGAAGCAAAAAGTCTTCAAAATTGGAAACTAAGTCCAGTTGTGTGACATTCAGTATGATTCTTCGAGCTGATTGGGTGCCTGCCTCCCATGTGGAGTTTTTAGCCAATCACAGCAGCAGTAGCAGCTCAGACATATCACATTCTTGAGTTGTTTTACAACTAGCAGAGTTAATGAACAAATCAAAATCTTTGCAAATCTGGTTGGAAGCACAAGCATTTTGTCCTTTTGGATAATTTTTTAAATATGAAATAGAGGGTATTCCAGCTAAAACCGGTACAGCTGAGTTTGTTTTGCCCCAGCCTTCTACCTCTGGTTGATGCTTTGGCGTCATACACATCGATGCATTTCATTGGTTCAAAAAATTTCCCTATTGAGGCTAATGCATCTATTGGCTACTGGTAAGATGTATTTCATTTCAATATATATGTTAATTCAAAAATCTTGTTACAATTCATCAGGTTTGCAAGGCAACATTTTATATATAACAACCCTAAAAAACAATACAAAAAAAAAAAAAAAAAAACTCTTGATCCTATTGGTTGTATTTGCCATTGTAGCTGAAGTGTCTCTACTTCAGTAACTTCGCAAGAAGCAAAAGTGCTGGTTTCTTATTATGACAAAATATGTTTTTGCACTTATTCACAACTGTATTTTTAGTGAAAAAGAATTTGTTCATTTTGATTATAAGTATTAGTTATATGTATGGTCAATATGGACCATAGTGTGGTTTTACAGTAAGTTTCTCACTTTATGTGCAAATTTAGTCAAAGATTAAGCTTTTGTTTTAGTGTTTTTTCTTTCATTAAGTCCTGTTGATGAAACAAAAAGGGAGTCTCTGTTGCTCATATTTCTTTGGTTTAGTCTTCTTTTATTTCAGCTGGTATCCCCTGTTTTTCTCTCTTTGATGATGGGGTATTTCTATTCTATAGCGGCTGTGAGCTCAGCGGGTTTGCTTCAGTCTGTATAATCCCCTCACTCCAGCCGCCAGCATATAAAAGCTGCACTGGCCCCTCATCCTCCCACACTGACCACCAGTCCACTCCTTTGCGCACACACTGCCATAGGTAAGACATTGATCAACACCACACAAAAAAGAAAACAAGGGAGGAAGATAGACACCAGATATTTATGCTGATGTCTGTTCAAACTAGAAGTCAAAATTTGCTCATTAAATGTGATGCTGTTAACCACAATTACAGTATTGTTAATAAAAAAACAACAACATTGTGTCTTAATCAAAGAATATTGTAAAACTCATGTTTTGAAACGACAGCAGTGTTTTCAGACAGCAGAAAGGATTTTTTTGAGCAATTTTCTGCACTTTGTTTTGTCTGTTGGGATTTCTCTTTGTTTGATTATGGATGAAAAACATTGATTGTTTTGCGCTCAAACCAGCTATGAACAACTGTGGTAAAGTTTGCACAGACTGACTGATATTCTTGTTACAGCTTTAAAAAAACAGCTCTAGCTTTGCTTTGTATGCTTCCTTGTTCTCTTTTGCAAGTTAAACGTTTGCTGAAGGTGGGTCTCAGGAGACAGAACTTTTATCTACATCAGTCACCTTTCCTCTTTTGTTTTTTTTTACAAAGAGCAGAGAGAGAAGGGATTTCAGCATGCCTCAGACACAATAACAGCAATGCCTCTTGTAATTGTTTTCCTTTTTATTCTAAAAAGTACCAAGAACAAAGGTAGAGATATAAACAGTAAAATAAGGCAAAGCAGAAAAAAAAAAAATCAGAATACATCATTATTAATTGATATATTTTAACAGGAGGCAGATCAAGCTATTGTCAAGTTGGGTGGATGTTTGACAGGACAGAATGCATACTGAAGCTAAAGGTAGTTACTTGCAGATTAAAGAAGCAAAATTCCAAAAACATAAATCCACAAAAACTGAGAACAAGGAATAATCACAACAAGGGGGCAAAGACACAACAATAAACCAGGAACAGTGACTGAGCAGGAGGTGTATATTTGGGAGAGAGATACAAAGACCAGGCTAATCAGCAGATTGAGAGCAGGTGTAAACAGAGGAGTGTAGAAAGGAGCTGGGGAAAAGGAGACTGACACAAGAGGGCAACAGAGGGCAAACAAGAAATACCTAAGAACCCAAATACAATCAAAAATAACTAGAATAACACAACATGGAAATAAAATGAAGGAAAACTCAAAGATAAAACTTATATGTAACCAAAACTATGACATTTGTCCCTTTCTATATTAGTTAGCTGTTATATAAAAAAATAGAAATTTATCACAAAACTTGATTAATAATAAAAGAAAACGCAAAAAACCCCCCAACAAAAAATGCAAAACTACAAAAATATCCCCTTGATTAATAACTTTCTTTCTTTCCAGCAAAGCTGTTCAGACCTTTTTTGAATTTCGCCAGTTTTCCAGCTATTGGTCCCTGCTAACATAAATCAAAATGTATCTCACTACATTTCCCTTAAATAACACATATTGAACTTTTTTATTTTTATTTTTATTTTAAAGGTTAACATTAAGCCGAACATTAATATAGAACATTTAAAAACTGAAATACTTGTTTAACTTGTTTACTCCAGCTTGTAAAGGAAGCTTTAAAAAGTTTTTTTTAGAAAATCCTCTGGTTGTTCTGTGTTTCTGGCAAAGGTTGATTGACTCTTTATAGGTAAAACCTACATTTTGAGAGTAAACACAGCCTCTTCTTCTTGTTCTTAAAGTCATGTCTGCTGGAGCAGAGAAACCCAAGTCCCAGCCTGATGGGAAGGCAGCTGAGAACAAGATGTCTGCAATGGACAAGATGTCCTACAAGGTGCACAGAGTACACCCACACATCTTCTGAAGATTTTCAAACATCTCTTGCTACTCTATCGTGTCGTCTTTGTTAAATGGTGTAAAGCGTCTGGCCTAACACCTTACCCTCTGCGCTCTCACCTGCCAACTTCAACCTGCTGATTTTTTAAAGCTCCCTGAGTAGGTGGTCAGGAGCTACCACCGACTGAAAAATACTCAAGAATACATTTTTGTGTTTTTCAGATTAAAATGGGCTCTCCATAACAATATCTACCTTTTTAGAAAGTTTTCTCCATTAACCCATTTCTTTTTATTTGTGTCATCAGATGTGCGTCTACGACCAGGAGAATTTCCAAGGACGCTGCATTGAGATCAATGCAGAGTGCATGAATGTGTGTGAAATGGGAATGGACAGGGTGCGCTCCCTTCGTGTCGAATGTGGGCCGTAAGTACAGTGACAACCACATGCCCACACGTTTAAGTACAGAAGTTCCACTCCTGTGCGTAACATGCAGGTGATTTCACAGATGTGCCTCTCCATTATATGACATTTCTTCACTTTGCATTTTAGGCAGTCAGGGGAGGCTTTTATCCGCAGCTATTTGCAGAGAGCAGCAGGGGTGGGAACTTCAGCTTTTCAATTAGTGTCTGACTTTGATCAGAGCTGGGCAGCAACTTTGCTCTGTGTATATGATGTTAGGGGAATGGTTACTGTGTGAGTAGAATAAAAATTACTACACAAAATAAGAGAGTAAGAGCAGCATTATTATTCATTTATTTCCACTGAATCTCCAAAGAAGCACAAGAGGCCGAAATAGTTCAACAGTAATCTATAAAAAGAGTCAAGAGGCAGAAGAACGGGATCAGAGGCTAAGCAGAGCTCTTATGAAGGGTAATATATGCTGCTCTAGGAGGCTAACAAAGAGGTCTGCATAATAAGAAACCAGATGCTTATATTTTTTTGCTGATATTTCTTTCCCTTTATTAGATTTGTGGGCTTTGAGCAGATGAACTTTTGTGGTGAAATGTTTATCCTGGAAAAGGGCGAGTACCCCCGATGGGATTCATGGAGCAACAATCAGAGGAACGATTACCTTCTGTCCTTCAGGCCTGTGCGGATGGTGAGAACAGCTATGTTCTCAGTAGAGCATAAAGTTTGCTCTCTTCGATTTTTTTTTCCTAATGTATTTCTTGTCTTGTTCATCCAACATGCTACAGGATCCTGAGGAGCACAAGATCTGCTTATATGAAGTCGGAGAATACAAGGGTCGCAAGATGGAGATCATGGACGATGACGTTCCCAGCCTGAGTGCCTATGGTTTCACCGACAGAGTGGGAAGCATCCTGGTCAGCTGTGGAACGTGAGTACCTTAACTTTGTCTTTGCAAAAAGGCTTAATGGGACCTAGCCACCATATCTTCAATCATCAAAAGTTCATAGATTAAAATAAAAAAACAAGTTTTTTAAGGGTTTATTAAAATATTATATGCATTATGTTGTATAAATAGTAACAGAAACCGTCGTATTTGTTAACTGACTGTCATGTGTTTGCTCTTCTGAATTTCATTTTCAGTGTAGTTCAACTATGTTGATTCAAAAGGTCAGAAACTCAAAGGTTGGACGTATTTCAAATTATTGCACCCTTTGTTAACGCTATTGGATCTTTCTGAGCTCTCTGGAAAACATGTCATACTTAATATATTCTCAAAATACAGGATTTACAATAAAGTCACAGGATTAAAAAACAGGAGGAAGCTATTTGCAGGGAAACTATATTTCCATGGCTGCAGAACATGCTAATTTGCCTCCTTTGTTCTCTTTTCTACCTTAAAGTTTTCTTTTATTGTAACAGAAAAAGTTGGGCACAAATAAAAGCCGCTTGCTATCTCTGAAGGTTGCATCGTCACGCTGAGAAAGGAGCAAATTGACCTGCAATTATTTTAGGGAATCCCAGGATGAAAAAAAAATGTATGACAGCAAAGCTGCTTTCTTAACTTCTTTCGCATAAAACCTGGTCCTTTCCTGCTAGAATTTAAAATGTAGAAAGACTTTTTCTTTTACTCTGGATTATTCACAGAATGTTAAATTTACTCTTAGCAAGACTAAACAAGCTCATTGTTGTGATTGCTCAAGAGGATTTGTGTTGTTTTGCATTCTAGGTGCTTAGGTTCTACCTACTAGGGCCACTATAAACACTGCATCTGATGAGTGTTAGGGGTGGAGCTAGTCAATTATTGGCCATCCCTGTGGCCATCCCTACTAGCAGATCCCATGTAGACATAATTCACAAGTAGCTCCTCTCTAAAACAGAGGGTAGCTGCAGTAATACTCTCAAATGAATGTTTTAGCGATTATTACATTTTAATTGTTCATATATCAACAACTAAAATACAATAGCTAATTACTTCCATCAATATACTATCATTAAAAATGATAAATACAGAATGCACGCAGTTTTAAAAAACTATAGTGAAAATGAGAAAATTATATCTCTTCAAGTCATCTAGGAGTTTTCTATGTAATTAGAGATAAAAAAAAATATTCCACTCAATCAGGTATTAATATATAAAAATTATGCATGACAAGTATTAATAAAACTACAGTTGTTTTTTTTCTTTCTTCCGAAACATAGATAATAAATGACAATAGATAAAATATTACTACCAGACCTTAAAGCTGAAATAAGATTCTCCACCAACGCTTTAATTTGGAGAGCATGGATGTGTAAATATAACCTGAAGCAAGGGCTTTATGAAATCCTATTTTGTTTTTAATTGGAAAATGGGAATGTTCTGCTTGTGCATTTTCTTTTTGAAACATTGTAGATTGAAACGAAACTGATTCTGGTGCTTGTACACTTTGTTCCCTGCCTTACCAACCATATAAAAACTTTACTGGCTACAAAACTGAGTGTTAGAGATTGATACTCATTGAGGAATTTTAAAGTAGATCTTGAAAACCTTCAGGGAAAAAAATTTGGTCAAGTGGTTACTCTTCCATAGTTGTATCTTAGTCCTGAACTTTACTTGTCCTTATGTTGATAAAAAGGCTCATTTAGTTTTTTTTTTTAGATAGAGATAGGTCTACATTAATGAAGAAAAAAACACAAAAATAAATATCCCTTTAGCATAGAGTTGTCTGGAGGGTTAAAATAAAATAAATAAAGTACTGTTAATTCCACAGGTCATCAATGTTTACAATCCAAGGACACAACTTTTGCCTCCAGGTTTTTTTTTGAGCATCACAAAAGTTTAATGGAAATAAAAAAAAAAAAAATCAAAATAACTTCCACAAGTTGGTAAAAACGTCTTAATGTTTGCCTAAGTGTGTTTTTTTTGGCTATTCTACAAAAGACCAAATGCCCTAAATGGGAAATGGAAAAAGTCAACAAAATAATTTCAGATATGGTGAAAATTTCACTCATATGCATTGAAATTAATTAATTTCTTTATCTACATCTCCAGAAAGCATATACCATCATCAATACTTGTTGAAAAGACAGAAAAATGACAAATTGCCTCATAGCAACACATTCCAGAAAAGCTCTCCCCATTTTTCTCAAATATGTGGTCTCTGCCAGTTTGCAGTCTTGCCTGGTTTATTCACCTCTATCTACTAGATGGAAAAATGCCGACATTTCTTTTTCATTTAGCAACAAATTAAAAATTGTCCATGAGAGTTAAATGCAAACAGAGCAACTGGGTAACATCCTTGCAATTATTCTCATGAACCTGCATGTCAATAGGCCTCTTGGTAGCATTGAAACTCAGGACTTCTTTCTGTAAAGCAATGTTGCCTTTACTCATAAAATTCAATTAGTTAGGAGTTTTATGGTTAAATTCAAGAAACACAGTTTAATTTATTCTGTTGTGCTTTTAAACAAATTAAATGGGCCATCAGTGAAAAGATTAAGGGTATAGTGGAGGATGTACTTTTTCCGAGTGGATCATCAAAATAAGTGGTCCTCCTTATTGTCAATCATTCTGGTGATATGTCTGGATAAGGTCATCCTACATGCTTGTCCTCATTTTGACTTAACGGTAGTGAGTCTGACATAATGGAAAAATTGCGAATCTTCTTTTGGAAAGTAGGCTTGTATGAATGATGCAAACAGCAACTTTTAAACAGGGAGAAATGGATTTGTGCTTGCTCTCCCAAGCATTTAATAGATGTACCCTCACAGAGCAGGAACAGGGTTGTGCATGTGCATGTTTTGGCATGTGCATTTTTTTTTTATGCGAGGAGGGCAGGTCTTTTAAAAAATTCATGAAAATCCTCCACTATACCTGTAATGCATCTTTTTGGTTGAACGATTCTAATTTTTTTTAAATGTGAAAAATAATACCTTTATTATATATTATTATATTATTATTATACCTGATGACAATTACTAAATAATTTTATCATACTCCAGGTTCTCCATTAAAAACAACAAGAAAAATTGCTTTGATCTCTGGAAAACTTGTATTTTCCTAAATTGTGAATGTAAAAACCTTTCCATTTTATAGGATCTTGAATCATTTTAATTCCAAGGCACTGTTCTGGACCCAAAGGGCCACAAGTCTCAAACTTTATTCTTTACAGAGAAGGTGAAGTTGGCAGATAATTTGATAGATGATACCCTTCAAGTCACCAACACTGCTTCAAACTTTGAGGAGGTATCAAAAGTGGCTAAATCTGGCAACAATATAACCAGGAGTGGGATAGTGTTGGTGTCACCCTCGTCTTGACGTCACAGCATTATCTGCTGTAAATTTGATATTCACAGCATGAGGTAGAACATTCATACGTGCAAATTGCAAGAGTCTCACTTTCATGGCTTGAGATCTTATTTAACTTGCCTAACAAGTACATCTCAGCCATGCTTTAACACACTGTTTTGTATGCCTGTCTGGGGCTGCAGCTCCGCTATCTTAGAGTCTGTTCTGCATTTGCATCTTCCAGTCAGTAGATCATGCATATTTCAACAGAGCTGCCAAAAAACATTGCACTCTGCCTTTCAAACTACTGCATCAAAAAAAAGTCAGAGCCTGGCGTTGCGTGTGTCAGACAGTTTTCGCATCTGTGACGTCATTCTCATATACAGGCTGAAGCAGCTTTCTAATCACAGACTATCAGGAATAGAGACTTTTTTCATCAGCAGCTTTCTGATGGTGTCGTAGACGTCAGCAGCACAGCGTCCCTGTCTGTGTTCGCAGAGGTGTGGCTGCAAACAAAGCTTATCCTCTGCTGTGATTACTTTGTTTTCAATGGTCTGAACTATTTGAAACAAACAGCTGGGGAGCGGAGCTGTCTGTGTCTGAAAGCCTGACAGCATGACAAATAGATCAATGTTTTCAGTGTGAGAAATGTTGATCTACTCTGAATTATCTGCCTATGTCTCTTAAAACATCTTTTATACACAGTTCTCCCTTATCTCTCAATCATTTTTCAACATCCTTATTTGTTAATGAATATCTTTTTAACTTCTAACTCTGAAACTCTTTACATCATGCTTCCTCTTTCCTTCCCTAGATGGGTGGGGTACCAGTTCCCTGGGTACCGCGGCAGCCAGTACCTGCTGGAAAAGGGTGACTACAAGCATTTCAATGAGTACGGCGCTCGCAACCCTCAGATGCAGTCCATTAGGCGCATCCGAGACATGCAGTGGCACCCACATGGCTGCTACACCCTATCCGCCAAGTGAAGCTCAGAGAGGGTGAGGAAGAGGGGGTGTAGAGGAGAGGAGGACCGGGGAGGTGATGGAGGGAGGGCAAAGAAGGAAAGGAGCAGACAGAGGTTGCAGTGATGTCTCCTTCATTCCTAAATGTGTCGTGGTTGGTGGCGCAGGGCAGAGGGAGTACATTATAGGACTATTTATAGCTGGAAGTCAGCGACCGAAGTAGAGTTACAGGAAGTTGCAGAGGAGATAATTACAAGAACCACAGAGACTATATCTGGTTAGAAACACCCTCTCTCTGTGTTTTTCCCTCTTCAACTGTCTCCTGGCTTCCCCATGCAGCCCCCCCTCCATTCCTCACTCTCACACTGATGTTGCACATTTAACCCACGTCAGCCCTCACCAAACCTATCAGAGGCGTTTTTCTGTTTGTGTGATGGACAAAGAAAGACTGCATGAAAGAAAAAAGAAGGAAATAATTAAAGTGTTCACATCCTGCTGCTACATACTGCTAATAAAGCTGCTCTCATCCTGCTTCATTTTGACTGATTTCATTTAACCAGTGTGATAGGATATATGTATACACACACACAAACACACACATATAATATATATATATATATATATATATATATATATATATATATATATATATATATATATATACACACATACACATACACACACACATATAATATATATATATATATATATATATATTCCACCATTTAATCCAATGTGGGGCATGCAATGTGGGGCATGCACCATTCAGCATCGATGCGGCAATGTGCCATAATCGATTATGTCACTATTTATTTTCTGGCCTCAAATGGACAAGTTGTGAAGTTTCAATTACTTCCGGGGGCATACCAACAACAATCAAGATGGCTGAGGCGGAGGGAGATGACCACGATAGACGGGTAGGCCTAATTAAAAATGCACCAAAAGCTTGGAAAGTGGATATCTGGGCACATTTCGGATTTTACAAAGTCAATGGGATTTTGATGCATCGCAATGCATCGTAGAATCGAATTGAATCGAATAGTGAGGGCAGTGCCAATGCACACCCCTAGCTAATACTATTATATTTTCCATGTTATCTTCCTAGAACTTCTTTTCCTATTTTTTGTGTCACCTGCATGGCTTGAGGCAAACTGCAAATAGGACGCCTTAGTTCGGGTGAAAGAAACTCTGAAGCATTCATTAGACCAAAATACCTGACGCAACTGTGCACCAATAAACAAACCAACGTCCAAAACAAATGAGTTAGTGTCTGACTTCATACAAGTTTCTTGAAGAACAGTCAAACATCTCTAGAAGCACACTATATTACCCTTTCACAAGTATTCCTAGAGCAGCACTGCTTTACCAGTAAATGATGGGCTGAGATCATTCTAACACCAATGGATTAAGCAGGGATGTCACTAATATTTCTATAACAGCAAAAAGGCAAATGGCGATATGGTTTAGTGCACTCTGCATAGTCATGAGGAGATTTTGTTGAAGAATATGATCAGAAATTTGATATATATTTACAAACCACCTTAGACAGAAAGTTGTTTAAATTTCCCACAGGGCTTACTGTAAATGTTAAAACATTTGATTATTTGAATATTTTCCGTAAGATTTGGAGAGGATTTGCACACTGCTTCTAAATTTATCCTCTTTCTAATATTAAATCCTGTTATGGACCTGATGTAGCTACAGTAGGCTACAGTAGGTAACATTAGTGCCAGTTTTTATAGGGTATAGTCATTATACAATGATGTAATTTCCAACGTGTAGCCTTAATAGTCATTCAATACTACATTTCAAAGCAGATAAATTAAAGTAAAACTGTGTCTTTTTTCAATCAGTTTAATTGGATATTTTAGAAGCCAGCGGTGCTAAAATTCTGCAACAAATGTGACTTGACACTAGAATTGACTCGTGCATCCTGCTAGAGCTACAGGGAACCGGGTTCACCATTTGTTGCATGGCTCCCCTAAAACATAAAAAAATTTACTTATTAAGCCAATTTTCTTATCTTCGCTGAGTGGTATGAGTCTGCTCTGTTTTAAAAAACATTTTTAAGGAAAGTTCCTCTCTCGCTTCAGCAGTGTCGTTTCTCAGCCTATTTCTGAAGAGAGCACAATCTGATTTGTATGATTGTGCTCTCTATGATGGAAGCCAATCTGGTCCAGTTTTGCTTATCTGTTGGAAAAAAAAAATCCATCTCTGCTTCCAGAGAAGTCTGACAGCACATTACGTTTTCAAACTTATGAGAAACCACAGCCACTCTTGCATTATTTATCATGCACAGGAAATTGATGCGGTCCATGAACATCAGTACCGAAGTTGATGCAAACACACTTTTACCCTGACATTATGTTTCTTTTTTTGTCTCAATAAAATTGTGAATTATTCATGGTTTTTGTTCACTTTCCCTTTTAAATCTTCAAAAATTCATAAGTTTAATTACACATGGTGGAATTTATAGAAACTCTCTGCACCATGTGGCTCTAGTGGTTTATTTTTTATATCTTTGGTTTATAATTGCTGCATCATTGATTATCAGACTATGATGGAGCAGGCCTTTTAAAATGCTTCAGTGGATCAGTCGGGCAATTTCAATAAAGGAGTTTTCAGGAAGTTGCAAGGGAGGCTTGATCATATTACCTACAGATGAAAAAAAAATAGCCACCAGTTTTGTCCAATCAGCGTGCATCTTCTAAGACAATGCCTTGAACATGATGACGGTGTAATGTTTGCAGATGGATTAAATAGATTAAATAACAACTGTTGACATTTGGACATTCTGATGCAACAAAGTACAGAGAAATGTAATCTTCTGAAGCTCTCTGTGTTAGATAGATCCACAGACGGTGGGCTAAACTTTGCGTTTGCACTAAAAAAGCATATTCAATGGTGCTCATGGTCAAATTTTTATATGTGTCTCTGCTTTAACATGTCTGAGTCTAATAATAGAACAGAATAGAATACAAAATCCCTGTATTGTCCCGCAATGGGGAAATTCTGGTGTTTACAGCAACGAGAAGATTATAGAAAGAAATCAAGTTTTCATCAGGACCCTGAACTGAATCCATGCAGAGGAGGTGATTCAGCCTTTTGATTCAGGCATGGAGGACACTGGAAATCAAGAACTGGAATTGGGGAGCCCTGGTCTATGCTTTAAATGTGTCTTTGAATTGTCCAAATAATTTAAAATTTGAGTTTGTTTTTTTATTATTCACTGTTGATTTTAAGATAGTTTTAGTCATGAATGTTTTCTAATTATATCTTGTCTTTGATAATATGTTATGGTAATAAAGCTGGGTTATCATTCAGAAATAAATGAAGGATGATAAAGAAAATGAGAAAAGTATAGACATTAATTGCATGGATGAAGTTAGAACTTATAACTTATACAACTTATAAGAGGAAATGTTTTTAAAAGAGTACTGCAGATGTTTTTTTCAGAATAACTTGTAAAATATGTTTTTGTTGTGTTGTAACACATTACCAAATATACAAGACATCTATCTATTTTATTTTTTATTCCAGCAGTTGTTACTTACTTTTTTCAGACACTAACTCTTACTTTTTTAAGTGGTTCCTTTGGAAAATAAATTCCCCATGATATCTTTTAAGTAGGTGAGGGGTGCAAACATCCTGTAAATACATAGCTTTACAACAAATTCAAAACATCCTGAAACACAAACTTAAAAAACTAATTAAAAGAAAAAATGTTGCAAAGAATAATTGTTATATTCACAGAAGATAGAAAGCAACACGGTAGAAAAGTCATGCAAACTCAAACCTGCTGCAAATGCATGAATGCTAACACACAAAATACATACTACAAGTAGCAAAAACAGCTGTCGATAAAGAAAAGCTGTAAACTAGTTCATCCAATAGAAGTGTTCCAGATCACTAAGGGGAGATAATCATCAGCCTGGGACCAGAACAAGGATCTTTCTGCGAATCATTATCTAAGGCCCAGATCCATTGAAAAACTTAAAACATGTTGTCATTCAGATTACATCTGGAAGTAAAAAAAAACACCCCCCCCCCATAAAAACAAAACAAAACAAACCCAAGTTTTCCAATGAATTTCCTAAACCAGTGGCAGGATGGCGAACAAACTAAAAAAGACCAAAAATCTGCCAGGAACTCACACGCAGCAGAATAGTAAAAATTCTTTGCAAGGGTTTAAGGGTTTCAGGAGCAACACAGCTCCTGAAACCCAGTTTGCAGGGTTGTCTTTACCTCTAATTTACTCAGATCTTACTTCAGTTTATGATTTGTTGGATGTGTTGATCCAAAGACTTAAACAGGGCTGCTCTAAAACCTTCAGGACTTAAAGAATCGATTTAAAATTCTTAGTGAGATATTACAACACTTTTTCAGGTCTCTGTTAGAGTTCATGCTTTAATAGTTGAGAACAGTTTTAGATGCAAACCAGACACTACTAAATAGGTGGTCATAATGTAATGCCTTTTTGATCTATGTTCCACTATGTTTAATGTTGCGTCTATTTTCCACCCATCATCAATCTGCATCTTTTTCCTTGAGGAAAATGTAAAATATATGTAGGTGGTGTCAGTCAAACCTTTCTTGTAGCACACAAACAATTATTAAAAAGTAAGGAAAAGCAAATAGTCGAAAGAATTTTCCTTTGAGCCATTTTTTGCTGGATGCATCATTAAAGTTGGACATTTGTCCCACAGTCAATTTAAAAATCATTTTCCCCCTCAGCAGCTCTTTCACCGAATCTCTCAAGACAAAAGCTTTGCTGTGCAAGAAGAGTAAACCTAAAAAAATACTTCTTGGTCAAACACCCAGCCCTTCATGTGCATCTCTTTATTTGGATTATGATTCTATCAAACATGCCATAGAATTACAGGTAAAAAAAAATTAAATAAATCTTTAAAGAAATTAGAGCAGTTGTGAAAGACTGCATTCAAAAAAAGGTTTCAATCTAGTTTTCCCTTTCTTCAAATGGTTTATGCATGCGGACTTTCTCTTTGTCTGAAGCAGCTTTGATA